GATTGCGGAGTTTAAATGATGGGAGTTTGATTTTTGATCTATAAACGGAGTCTTTAGATCTTTTTGATTTTAGGTGGAAAAATTCGTTAACCACAGCGTGAAGTTGTTCGATAAGTTTCATATGCGTTAACCAATTCACTGCCAACTACCAGATGTCTAGTAGTTCAAATTGATCACAATTACTCGAGGGATAAGGTTGTAGCCTTTTGATCCACGAGTTATTGCAAAAGACGATAGTAAATGTTTTTTTAAAACAACAAAATTGAATAGTACTATCAAAAAAATCTAGATTACACATCTGTATTAAATTTTTCCCGGCAGTGAATGGGTTAACCACCATGATTGTGGATTTGAAGAGATGGAAATTTGATTTTTTATATATAAACAGAGTGATTTATGGTAATGTCCATCAGGTTGAGACGAAGTTATCCTCGACCTGTGACGACAGTATCTCAGGTTAAGACGAAGTGCTTCAAAGATTAAACAAATTTTGGAGTCAGTCTCATAATTTCTCTGTCAGTTGAAACAGGTCCTTACCGAGTCTCAACCTGATAGACATTATTATGATCTCCGAATTTTTAATTCCACGTTCCTGAAACGAGGTCTAATTATTCACTATTCGCCTTGCAGCGTATTTTTGTGGTTATGACTCAAACTTTCCCGGCTAATAAACATTTTAAAAATCCTACAAACGTAAATATCTATATCAAACTGACCAAGATTGAACATTGTCTACGAACTTTAAACATTCTCTTACTAAAGACTCTAAAAAAATCTACACATCTCGAACTATTTGTTTAATTGCTATTTGCACGAACGTATCCGTTTGAAAGAGCACGGATTACAAACCAGGCATAACGCGGTTAAGTTTTTATTAATGAGCATAATAAGTTACGTTTAAATATTCATACGGTCCAACCATCGAATATTTCAACGAAACGTTCTCAATATCAGAGATGATCCCGACCTTCGCGGCCAGGACCCCAACCCCCGTTCGCGCTAAAATAATTAAGTCGCCAAGGGAGGACCGACCACCGTCGCGAGCGGAGGGCTAATGCGATATTGGTATTCTCCGACTGCCGGACTTGTTAGAGGTTTTAATTAAGGCGATATAAAATCAACGAGAACCCGATGAATTATTAATGCAAACTTTATGTATAAATTAGCGAGTCTACTCTACGGCGCGTTAAAACTGAAACTGGCGTTGTTGTTAGCCACAGGGAAACTCGTAAAATTTCTCTCGCTACCCCTAACCACGATGTCCACCCCCGCGTCGTGGAAATCTGGCTTTACGACTTCTCGTACCAGAAGAGTTTACATCGCGACACGATCGTTAAGGATCGTTTTTCCGGGCACCCTAACGCCACAACTATTCGGCGAGAGACCATCGAGTACCCGTTACACGATTATCTTCGATGTTGGTCGGTCAAAATTTCAATCTGAATTACGAAGGGTTTCTCAAAGAGGGGCACTAGAAATTTTGTTCATTTTAATAACAAAATATGCCTGCCATAGAGTAGTAGTTTTAGTTGTGATGGACGGTTAAAAGACATCATTTCTCATTTAATTGTGATCATGTGTACTTTCGTTAAAATTTATATACTTCAAATATTTTTGATTATGAAGTGAAATTCTGAAGTGGAAAAGGAACTTGAAAAACCTTTCGTAGTATTAATAAATTAATATTATGAATTATCAGATGCAATTTCAATACTTCGGCAGTCTGTATATCAATATTTTGAATGATTAAATAATTTATATTTGAAATTTCGAAAAATGAATACAAGGTTTTCCAAAAATATTGAAGATCAGAGTGCGAGTATAGTGGAGCGTTCGCAGTAGTATAGGGTACGCCATATACAGCCGTACTCCACCGTCATACTCGCGGTAGAGTACGAACGCGTCTGCCTAGGTCCTACCCTATACTACTGCGGAAGATTGGTCGGGGTTTTCTGTTAATATCTCCTTAACGAAGCCTCGGACAACATTTTCGCTACGGAAAAAGTTGTTTCAAATCATCCCACGAACCCATTTCAAGGACCTTTAACATTTTTGGGACACCCTGTATAATTAAATTGAATAATACTTTTCATTTTCACAACGTTACTGCTCAATCTTTGTTTTATCTATTAGAATCTATTATTACGTTAGGTCTACTGGAAAGTTCTGTCTGATCCGGTTACAAGTTTCAACAAGTATGCGTATACTCGTTAAAAATGATATACAAATTGCAATCACGCAAGATTGTCATAAGTAATGATAAAAATTGTATTATTCAATAAAATTTATTCAAGGTGAGAAAAACGTATTATTTTGTTTTATTCTAAAAATGGACAGAACTTTCTGGTAGACCTAATGATAATAGATAGATAATAATAAATGCATTTATTATAGCAAAATGCCTATTTAATAGGCTACCGGTCGTTAAAGTGTTAAACGGGCAACTGAATCATATTTATCAAATAATTGCAAGCGACGAAAACTCACCGACGACTCGGACGACTTTGGTGGTTCCGGGGAGGCCATTTGTTTCGCCACGTGCAGATGGTGCATCATGGCGGTTAGCCGGTCCCGTTCCTTCTGCAACTGAATCTCCAGCTGGGACACCACTTGCATCTGAACTCTGGCTTGCGCCGTCGATCTGTCGTCCAGCGTGTGCTCCGTGTTCAAGTGCCTGCAATAAACAATCAACGTTAATTCATATCTATCGAAAGTTACCAAAATGAAAATTTGGTTAAATTATAAGGAGGAACCGTACTTATAATCCCTTTGACCTACGCTATCTCCTGATTGCTCGGACTAAAGTAAACAGAAAGGTAGGAAATCCGAACAAAGTACCGCGAGCCAGTAATATTCCTACATATATGATTCAAACTCGCAAAGGAATAATCATCCCACCATAACGAGTCATAACCTACTTATAAAATATATAAGCCACAGTAATAATTCCTGCCATCTTTTTCACACCAGTCCAGCGAGTCTCTCCTCTAATGAAGCTACACGACGTTACAAGGAACGTTTGTCTCCGGCGAATCTCACCCCAACAGGGGATACCGAAAAGAATCGAGGCTCCCCAACACCAGGGGGTTGGTGCCAACAAGATTCCGTATTTAAGAATTTCCGTAATCCTTCTTCGTCGCAGGCAGAACGGACTGTATCGCCAAGGGTGAAAGAGGGTGAAGAAAGGATGGAGTGAAGGGCTGGTTAAGACCAAGAATGCGGGAATGTCTACGCTCGAAGGGGAGGAGGGGCGGGAGGGGGCCAGGGGATTAGAACCGAAAGGCATAACGATGCGGTCGAATGTCGTGAATATTAATGAGACAAAGGTAATTAGCGTTTTCCTTTTTTCCGTTCCTTTTTTAAGTAACGGCTTGTTTGAGGGAGTTTGAGGGAGTTTGCGGCGACGAGCTGCGTGATTACTAGGGACTGCCCGACCAAACCGAGGGGTGAGGGGGAACGACGGAGGCTTGAAACCGATGGAGAAGGTGCTGGATGTCAATGAGATACGCTGACTCCGGCGATTTTTCTACGCTACCTTTCCCTTCTCCTGAACGATCCCCGCGATGCCTTTCTAACTCATTCCACAGAACGAAATTGTCGACTTTATTCTTCTCGTTTCCCCGCTTCTCCGCTGTTACAAAGATCTCAATCGACTGCGGAGGATTTACCTACATTCCCGTGGTACATTCGAGATTTCGCGCGGCGAGTTGCTGAGGATAGGTCAAAATTACACTGTATACTACTTTGGCATAGATCTGCGATATAGTGTTTGTAATATTGTATATCATAAACGTCAATAATTAATGAAAATCTTCGTCTAAAATCTTTTTACTTTTTTGATACACAAGTATTCATACACTAATTCATTTTTGAAAATTTATTTCATCATATTGAATCCAATCCATTTTTTAATTTCATGTTCAAATTCGTAATTAGCGACTCCAAAAACCCCCGTGTATCAAGTTTCATTCATTGATTTTCACGAAATTTGGTACACGAAGGTTTCCAGAGTCACTGATTACGAATTTGAATATGAAGTGAAACAATTCAAAATGGTGGATTCAATATGGCGGAACAAAATGCGAAAAGTGTCCCGATTTGGATGAAACTTGGTACACAGAGAGTTTTGGAGTCGCTGGTTACGAATCTGAACATGAAATTCAGAAATTCAATATGGCGGATCCAATATGGCGGAACAAAATGCGAAAAGTGTCTCGATTTGGATGAAACTTGGTACAGAGGGCTTTTTGGAGTCGCAGATTACGAATCTGAACAGGAAATTAAACAATTCAAAATGGCGGATACAATATAGCAGAAGAAAATATAAAAAGTGACTTGATTTGGATGAAACTTGATAAATGGAGGTGTATTGGGCTACTGACTCTAAATCTGTATTCAAAAATAGATCATCCTAGTTCTATGCTCTTGTAAACAGGACTCTTTGATTCCAGTGGAGTGACGATTGATACAGAAATTGCTATAGCTACTTTTAACTTAAACTACAACTTTGATTCAGCTTTTAAGCGAACTTAGCATTCGTTTGATGCAATCGTAAGAAAATGTGTACTTACTTAAGGAATGCTTGATAGTCTTCACAAATAACTTCACAGCCCGGCCACTTGCAAACCCCATGACCGTAAAGGGGATGAGCCTTGTCGTTCGAGGAAACGTCCAATGGCTTTTCGTCCAGCGGAGTGGTGCCGTTCATCTCCGACCGGCGACTGGACACTATCGAATTCAGAAGTCCTGCGATAGTCCGGAAACGACGATCGTATTTGCAAGGTAAAGTGAAAATAAAAAGAGAACGGAAGCGAAAACGAAAATATAAACGCGAACGCGAAGAGTAGAATTTAACCAACGGAGAATTTTACTTTACCATTCAGTCCTGTCCCGGATTTTGGAACGTTGGAGTTCTGGTGGGATTCTGGAACGTCCGGTGTCTCTGTCTTCCATATCGGTAGACCCTCGCCTGGTTGCAGACCTGTTCAACATTTACATTTACGCGATTTAGTTCTGAATAAAATTGATGTTTAGCAAAATAAAATTAACGCATTCGCAACCGGCAAATGTTTTACGTTTCTAAACGTAACCGAGCACTGACGAAAATAATAAAATTCTGAAGCTGAACATCTCAAATTTGTATCGTTAGGGTAATATAAAAATTACAAAATATGTTTTGAAATAATTCATGTTGTAAATATGTAGTGTACAAAATAAAAAGATTCTCATAATTTTGTTACAAGCAGGAATAAAATTTGAAATGTCGTGAATTCACGTCAGAGGTCGCGAATGTACGTCGTGCAACTTGTTAAAAAATTGCATCGAGCCTGGTAGTAAAATAAAATTGTGAGAATATTGAAGAAAAGGATCGCAAGTGACGGTAAACGATGGGCAAGTTTGTTTCGCGCGTGAATTTTTGTATTCGAAGTACTCGAGGCGCGAGTCCCTGCTACTTTTCCAGCCCTGCCCTATTATTCCGCCCTTTCCTCATCGCGTCAGAAAGAAAAACATCGTCGGAACGAGATCCAACGCAACAGAAACACTTCTACGTGGAAACTTTTGCCCAGGGTGAAGTGGAAAATGAGAAAGTGTAGGGGTGGACCGCTCGAGGAGAAAGAGAAGCTTGGGGCACGAGAACGGGGACGTTGGACAAGGGGTGGCTGTTGTTTAAATTAGGGGGGCGCCTCGACGGATCATAATATTATATTTTCCATGATCTCGGAAATTTTCTAAACCTAAGTAGAATTAGTTATAGATGTTAGATAATCTAATGGATTTAAATAATTAAATAATCTAACTTTGAAAATTCTAATCTAACTTTTTGGTATTATTAGACTTGATTATTTTGTATAGCTGTCTTGAATCGTTGAAAATAAAAATAAAGGATTAAAATCCTTTATGTTTGCATTGGTATCACCAACAAAATTTTTTAGACGTACGATGTGTCCCATCATAGCGGACACCCGAGCGCAAAGGGTTAAAAATCGTCAGAAAATTAAACAGAAGAACCTACCTGAAGAAGGATTGTGACCCTGAAGACCAAGACCCTGTTGGAGGAGATACTGGCTCTGTGTGATTTGCAGCTGCTGAATCAAGCGTTGCTGCTGAAGCGCCAATTGCTGAAGAGGGGCGGACGCCTTCTTCTTGTCGGCGGTTTGCAACAGATGCGTCTGCTGGATCACGTTCAGCTGCAACTGTTCCTGCAGTTGCTGTATCGCCTGTTCCAGCTTCTTCCTCCCTAGCTCCGCGAACTGGTGTTGGTGCTACAATGCAAAATCAATTGAATTTGAACAAATCAATTCAATGCAGATGCATGTAATATTCTTTGTTAGAGAATAATAAAATTTATTTTATGAATCGAATCTTGAATTTGTAGTTTAATGGAGCATTTACTTGTCGTAATATGGATACTAGTTTCCGTGTCTAATATTTGCAATTAAAAAATGAATCTATAGAGATGAGGTAAAAATAGTTAATCATAAGTAGCCTGCGGATTTTATGCATTTATGCCAAATGCAAATATGGTAAACGTATGGTAAACGTATGTTAAACGTATACGTAATTATTCAATTATAGAAGAAAGTTTGTATATATCTTGTACATGAATTTCGTGTTAATATATACTATAAATGCATAAAATCCGCAGTCTAATTATAAGTCCAAGTTATACATGCGTTAGATCCAATAGAGGAATAAATAAATTTCCCATAATAATTTCTTCTATTCCCTGGCAAATGGGAACATCCGAGGAAAAGAAAGAAAACACGAAACGGGGAGAGTTGCATCTTGGCGGTGGTGAATAAATCACAGACACGGATAATTCGCTGGGGAAGGCGGGAGGAAGACAGAGGGCAGTTGATGGGTACCCCGAAGACAAACAACGAGACACAACGGCTGATGGCGACGTTTAATTGCTTACCTCATCCTCGAGGAACCGTGGGCGCCCTCCCATCTTCGCCAAGCCTCGAGGATATTTTAAAACAAACCCTGAGATAGACGCCCTTTATCATATTGCGCTACGAGCAAGAAAAACCAGCGCGCTTAATGAGCCGAAACTCGCTACTAACGAGGAAACGCTCGCGAATTTTGTCCACTGGACGACATCGAGGATTTCTTCGTCGCCGCGGAGAATCTTCTCGAGGACAACGCGTTCGCGTCGATGGAAGAACGTTAGATTCTCCGTAATTGAGATCGTCTTTCGCACGAGTCCGCGACAATCTCCTCGAGTGGACTGTACAAATTTGCCGAGCAAAGGAGACCTGGTCAGGCCATGCCGCTAAATAAATATTTGATGCCTCTATCGGTGCTATCGAGCCTGTGTGCGAACCGACAATACGTATGTGCGTGAAAATGTCTTTTGTGCTGTTTACGGGAGGGAGTATTGCGCG